GTGTGAGCTGCTAAATCCTCAGTGGACCATTAAAGGGTCACAGCTTTTGCAGTTACATAACAGCTGAATATTCCTCCAAATGATGCCTGTGATCTATATAACCATCCATTACCATAATACAGGGCATCAGAATGCAGATGGTCCCTCCGGCACGGGCTTATGAGATGGCATCTCCTCTCCTCTCCTGATTCTATAATTAATGGGAAGAGATTTATTCAGGCTCTGATTGCAATATGAGCTATGGGGAAGGTCGTTCCTCACCTTGCTTTGGAAACCGAATGGAGTGTTTTGTGAACTTCCCATGCATTGCAATGTCTCCACACAGCTCTGCGGGCAAACAAGACCGCATTAATGTCTCACAGCCATCCTCGCTGAATTTATACTTCAACCTTGATGTCTACAGAGCTCATTCGCTTGCGAGGATCAGCTCTTAGTCACTTGCGACTGGATCTCTGAGTTGGCATTTTCGGTCTCATGCTTCAGCTACTGCAGTCTCTATTCCACTCATCTCTATTTAACACAGCACCCGCTTACTCAGGGTTGCTCTATAAACCTGTCATGTTGGTCCCTCATAGCATGGAATTGTTTACAGCAGAGGATGCATAACACAACAACAAATGTGTGTGGACAAATGCTCCCATATTCAAATTCTGGCTGATACTGATAAGCCGATAATTATTTTCATGTTTGATAAACTACTGTATATATTGTATAGGTGACATAAAACTTTTGTATTTGTCTATTAAGTAAATAACAAATAAAACTAAAATCAGTCATTTAAATGCTACAAGTGAATTCATCACAACATTATAATGGACAGTATGGAAGATTGATATTAATTTATTAGTTTAAAATATTAAATTTCAAACGAGTATTAGATGATGGCAATTGTAATCGAAATAAACCCCATATTATCAATCAAACCCAATATTATATTATTATTATTATTGTTATTATTGTTGTTATTATTATTAGTAGTAGTAGTCACCCCACAGTTATAGTAAAGCAACACACACGCAGGAAAAAAACAAAAAAAACATGACACGCAGCAGCACAGAGAGTGAGGGTGATGGATTGCCCAGCGATCTCCTCCTCTCTTTTACTTCTCAGCGTACTCTCGCTGTCTCATCTGCTTATTTGTAACTCAGAGAGTCTGCGTGGGAAAACATGCCTGTGAACCGATCCACTTACACAGCAGGTTTTTGTAGAGCCAGGACGGTGCATTCGCAGCTGTTCAGGATGACGTGGAGCTTTGACTGGTCTCGTTAATGAGATCCAGAGTGCTCAGCGGGTCACTGCTGTCCGAGAGCCATGATGTGGAGGAGATAGCGTGATTTAATGGGCCGCTCAAGAGAAGCATGATGAGAACACGCTGTCTGAATCAGTCACACTGATGAAGCATGCACAGCAGGGCCAGAGTCTTTCTGCGGAGAACCACCGTGACTTACCTTTGACTTCATTAGGTCATGCCTGACTCTGTTCTCCGACCCTTTAAACCTATTAATGTGTGCTTGAAAAATCAGGAAATGCATTTCACATCCGTTATTCAGTTGTGCTAAATATGCGCAATGATAAACCACTTTTAGCAAAAAATGACCAACAAAATGACCCGAGAAAAATTCTTTGACAGTCTAATTAGGATCTTGTTATGTAGAACAGTTGTCAGAGTGTGTAATAAATGCACTTTACCAAAAGAAGGGCAGGGCAGGAGCGGAGCGGAGAGAGCTCTTAGATCAAGGTAATTGGAAGGCAATGCAATTGGATGAAGCAGCAATGTGTCATTTCCTTTTGAATCTCCTTTTCAATTTGTCCAGTCAATTTGTAATTTAACCTGTGACAAAACTAACAGCAGAACTGAAACCAAGGATAAATTAAATTTCGGCTTCTCGTTTGCAGCATACTGTATTTCCTCTCTCAGACTGAAATAATGAGCAAATGTCCTTTTCTGACTCCTTTGGCCAGGTCAGCGCCAGCCATTGTGGGACACACACAGTGTTCAAACTATACCGTGGACTTTGGGGGAGCCCACTTGTTTTTTTTCATTACTTGAGGTTCATGCGCTTGCGTGTGCCTCAAAAGAGGGCTTACAATGACTTACAAAGATACATAACAGCTACAAGTGTATGCACTACTTGCTTTATGCAAGCACTATATAGGATAAATCACTATACAGGATTTACCCTATTATACTTTATCGACACGAATTGATAGGTGAAACAACAAACAGCCACCCACAAATAGTCTATAAACAAAGCATCTGGCTGTCTTTGAGTACACATGAACAACGGTTAAAGTTACTCGTCGTCAGGCTACAGAAGAATACCATAATTCCTCCGTTCAATTAAGCCTAAGACATCGCAGACCTATAACAACCCAGCCGCAACACATAATTGTGAATAACTTGCCTTACCTTAACACAGAATCGACCACAGAGTCCAACGTTTATATTTTTTCTACGAATCTTTGAGTTAACATGTACTAAACATGAGTGGAATTATGCACCGCAGTGACCCCACACCTTGATGCTCATGACAAGAATAGTTAGCTCCCCCGTAGTTCGCACCCTGCACGCACACACACACACACACACACACACACACGTATATATGTGTGACACATATATATATATATATATATATTAGGGCTGTCAATAAATAAAACTTTTTAATCTAATTAATCACACCATTTTTCTGTGATTTAATCACGATTAATCACACACTTCATGAAAATAAGCATAGACCATGTATCTTGTTTCAAATGTTTATTTTGTCATAATTTGCTATATCTAGCAAAGTAAACTAAAAGATTGTAGGGTGATTCTCAAAAATCTGTGTTTTCTGCAAGCTTTTTTCAAGATAAATTTAGATGTCTTTCCAAAAAAGGACTCCAAAAGAACTCCAAAACTCCAAAAGGAAACTCCAAAAGGACACCAAAGAACCAAATGATATAAGGAGCCCATATAAGCACATATGAAAGAGAAAAAAAAAAGCTAAAAAAAAAACACTGATTTGTATAGTATGTGTACAGTGCAACAGCAAAGAGCTTTTTTACATTTCAGAGAAGTCAAGTTGCGAGACCAAACAGGACCACATGGAGATGCCAAATAAAAACCCAAACCAACCGCCTGCTGACTACATATATCTACTACAGTACACCGATCCATTCAGAATAACTAAACACAGCAACATACACATGACAAATCAAAACATTATCGTGAATGTGTGTGGAAACAACCTGAATGTACGGAAATGTCTGTGCCTGTGCATAAATACAATGTGCGATCACTGCGTCAAGAGCGGCACTCATACACGCGTTATTATAATGGACTCACGCGTGCTCACTGTACGACTCCTGTACGCCACTGCAATCGTCTTTACCTTGACTGCAGTCTTCATCCATCAAAACTTTACTAGCGAGACACTGGTTATCCAGTCAAGAAAATCTAGTTTGCATGTGTTGTTGACAATCCGTTCAGTCTGTACTTCACACAGCGCGGCGTGTGAGGGCTCGCACTCTCCAGAGACAATCACAGAATATGACAGAGCTTGTGTTTAAAAGCAAAACACACTGGAATGAATAATTCACTGGAAACACAATGCGAATCTCTGTTCTCTCTGCAATCTCTGATGTCTCTGATCTACTAAAAGTAGTTCTTAAATGGGGAATGAAGAGCAGTTACATAACTAAATAAATATTTTGTTAAACTGTGTCATCATATACAATATAATTGTTTGTTTTTTATTTTTGTTAGTAATTGTTAAAGGGGTCATAGGATGCCCATTTTCCACAAGTTGATATGATTCTTTAGGGTCTTAATGAAAAGTCTGTAACATAGTTACAATTAGTTAAAATTTCTCAATGTTAGTGTAAAAAACAACTTTTTTCAGATCAAGCCATTTTTGTAACATTTTCCTTTAAATGTTAATGAGCTCTGCTGACCCCGCCCCTCTCTTCCAAGCTGCTCTCAGAGAGACTGTTTACTTTTGCCACATTCATCGTGAAACTTGCTAATTAGCACATTATTAGGAAAGGCGATTTGCAAAGATTCATTACAAAACATTATACTCACTTCTTCTGTAGATGAGGCTGGATCATGAATGATTTGCGCTAACATAGATGCATTTATGTAGATCGGGGACGCATACCCTTCAGAAACAATGTAATCCACTGCGAGTTCAGCGGCTCAGATGTAGGGAGTAAACGACGACTGCTATGTTCATTATTAAATCCAACAATGATTCTTTAGGGTCTTAATGAAAAGTCTGTAACATAGTTACAATTAGTTAAAATTTCTCAATGTTAGTGTAAAAAACAACTTTTTTCAGATCAAGCCATTTTTGTAACATTTTCCTTTAAATGTTAATGAGCTCTGCTGACCCCGCCCCTCTCTTCCAAGCTGCTCTCAGAGAGACTGTTTACTTCAGCCGCATTCATCGTGAAACTTGCTAATTAGCACATTATTAGGAAAGGCGATTTGCAAAGATTCATTACAAAACATTATACTCACTTCTTCTGTAGATGAGGCTGGATCATGAATGATTTGCGCTAACATAGATGCATTTATGTAGATCGGGGACGCATACCCTTCAGAAACAATGTAATCCACTGCGAGTTCAGCGGCTCAGATGTAGGGAGTAAACGACGACTGCTATGTTCATTATTAAATCCAACAACAGAAAACCTCAATCGCTTAGGAGTCATTCTTGTCTACATGTGCTCCATCGGTGAAACACTGGCGGACTAAGGTCTAAGGTAAGACACCATTCCAGTCTGTGCTGAAACGCTATTGTCAATCAAACTATCGTGGGAGGAGCCTGTCTGTGTAATGTCAAACAGACAGGCATTTGAGATGGCCTCGATTTGAGAAATGGGAAAACATTTAACCAGATTTTAAAAAAAAAAAAAAAACATTGGGCCCTTCAGAAACAATGTAATCCACTGCGAGTTCAGCGGCTCAGATGTAGGGAGTAAACGACGACTGCTATGTTCATTATTAAATCCAACAACAGAAAACCTCAATCGCTTAGGAGTCATTCTTGTCTACATCTGCTCCATCGGTGAAACACTGGCGGACTAAGGTCTAAGGTAAGACACCAGTCCAGTCTGTGCTGAAACGCTATTGTCAATCAAACTATCGTGGGAGGAGCCTGTCTGTGTAATGTCAAACAGACAGGCATTTGAGATGGCCTCGATTTGAGAAATGGGAAAACATTTAACCAGATTTAAAAAAAAAAAAACATTGGGGGGATTTTTATCATTATAGGGTGGTTGTGTAGTACACACACTGCCAACACACATTTCAATTCAAACAACTTGTAAAAGTGCATGTAGCATCCTATGACCCCTTTAAGAATTACCACTATAGTGTGAGTGACTTAAATCCACCTATTTGTTTAGTACAGGAAAACAAGCAAAGTCTTGTAATGAACCCCCACTCCAAGGCCTCCCTTTGTTTGCCCAGTGCCTCTGAGACACCCTGTACCTGGAACTTGAATTATGTTCAGCCAGAGGCTAAAGGAGAGGAAGCCGTCTGGCCCCGGCGCACACATGTGTTTACCGCATGTGTCCGCAAGCTTGCAGAAGGCAGCGCCTCCAACGGCTCATTCCGTTTGGTTGAGATTTAGGTGTAGAGGTGTAAGTTATTCCACTTTTTGTTGAGCCCAGGGGATTTTTGTCCCACCTTCCATAGATGTGACCTTGACCATGTAATGCATTTGCTATACCATTTGTCCACTATCTGCTTCTCGTCTTCACCCTGATCTTTAATATTTTATTTTCTTCAGGGATGGGAATTATTCATTCTGTCCCTAGACTTGAGACTGTAGAAAGTTTCTATTTTTTTATGATGAATCCAAGCGAGCTGTATTGAAAGAATGTTTATGACACAATGTGTGAAGCAATCTAGTGGTTAATGGAATATTGCAATAGCACAACAATCACATATGCAATGGAAAAAAAGATTGTGTAAAGAGGAGAAAAAAACAGAGATCTCTGCAGTTACTAGTGAGAATTGTATTTCAGTAAATATGTGGTGATAGAGAACGTGAATGCTGAGGTTTCTTTTATTTGAATATGAACCAGCTGGAGCACATCAAGGGTGTGCAAAACACATTTCCCACAAATGCCAAGTAATGAGACATCCTGGGTATCATGGGCTGGAGCTTCAGATATTAGCATGAGTTATGTAGGTTATTCCAATCTCTCTAAGTGAAGGGAATCCAGTTACCTGGAATATTTTATTCAATTTTTTTTATCAATTTTTTAATATAGTGGTCAATATATAGGTTTGAAATAGAAAAAATATTTCATTAAAGGTGGGTGGAGTTTTTTATTTTAGGTATACTTTTTCTCTAAATATGTCCCAATTCATATATATTCTTTAATATTTGGAATTTTACATATATATATATATATAGATCATGTTTGTAAAGTTGAAATGTCAGCAAGACCTTACAATGTTTACATTAATTTGCTGATGATGTTATATACAGCAGGAGCACTTGATGGCCCTAAGAGGACTTTCTCATCAAAGTACCTCATACAATCTATATATTTTAGTCAATAACCCATAGAAAATTGAATGACCATGTTCCGTCAAACGAAGTCTGATAGAATATTGACATCGTCTTACTATTGTGAGGGTCCCATTCATTCACAGCTATCAGATCTGGCCTTATTTCATTATTACACGAGGACACATTGCAGAGACATAATTGACCTGTGTTATTGGGTTACGTAAGCCCTCCGTCTCAAGAGCGCAGTGTGCCGCAGCCTCACACTGCCTTTGCTATGCCATGTATGTCTCTGCAGGCTCACTGGGGTATCTCAGCCTCTTTGCAGGTATCTTTCTTCTATTACAAGGCTTTCAGCACAGACCCACCTCAGCAGACATAAGTTAATTAAGTGTATCGTTTCTCTGGCAGACACAGCCCTCTGGAGTTTCGTTCACTCAAGCCTTGATTTATGCCGAGCTTCAAGGACAGCATTAAGCACTGCAGCACGCTGCTGCTTCTAAAGCCCAGCCTACAGCCTCGCCTCAGCATCACAAACTGCGTGAGAGGCATAACTTCATGATGATCATCATCTTCTTTTGTAATGAATTATTTTTTTAATTGAAAAAAAAAATAAAAATAATAATAATATATATATATATATATATATATATATATACAGTGGGAAAAAA